GTGTGCGGTTTAGTAAAAAGTAGTTATGAAAACTGCGAAATATTTCCAGATGCATATTTTTCTGGAAATATCTTGTTCTAAACATTACATTCAGAGGACAGAATTTTCAGTTTCTACATTTATTTACTTTAATTGTAATTTTATTAAATATATAATTTCAGAGAAAATAATAGTTTTCAGCAAGTTTGATCATTTCTGATGTTACACAATTCACTTGAGGTTACATTTTGCCAGTTACACATTGCATACCTTTTCCTTAATTTTCTTTACCAATCCTTCTATGTATCTTTACTAAATGTGAATTAACCCTTTGCTTATTGTTCAAATAGTAAGAAGTAATCTTCAGTTGATTTGTGTATTGCTGTAGTGTCAATCAACTTCTCAAGAAAATTAATATTGAACCATTTTATTGCAGTATGCTAAAGACCATTTAGCCATCCATCTTAATCACACCTAGGATGTAAATCAATAATAATTAAACCGTACAGCAATGACAAGATTTTTGATCTTGCTCGGGTGAAGAATAGAGCCCTAATTTCATCAATGTTGCAAATATTCATACTGGCTGAGTAATACTTATGTCAAGTAACCTCTATTACAACATCTTTCATTACAGTAGTTAATCTGATGAAAATTAGTATCAGCATTGCTGTCATATTTATTATGTCAAAAGTCTATTTTAGCTCTAACCATGCCAATGATTTGTGGCAGAATTTTCAGTTACTAGGTTTGCAAATGATTAGTACTTATATCACCCACTGATGACAAATTAGGATTGGTGCTGAAGAATATCTTTACGTAATTGAGACCAGAGGATATTAAGGCAGAATTATCTCCATAAATGACAAAGTTTTTTTGTAAAAATCTGCCATATTTGTAGTTGGTTATATATTTTGTTGGAATATTGTGGCAAATTGTAATCTAATAGAAAAAGCATAGAATATTTCCTATTCCTTGCATTTACATTCTTAGGCAAAACCCCAATCAGAATAACTGTTAAATAATTCTGTCTTTTTCTCACTTTTAATTATAAAATTTGTCGTCCTTTCTATCCCAACCCCTCTTTGACTGTCTTTATACCTCTTCAGTGATTTAAAAAGCATGAACTCTATTCTTTTGATGGACATGAGCTGTTTCATAATGTTGTAATTTTCTTTTGCTTCCTATATATTTTCAGTAAAACAGAAAAAATACAAAAATTATGTTAAAAAGGCTTCACAATATACCTTGTCTCAAAACCTAACATTTTCTCCCATCGGTTATTTATACCTGGAACCTGAACCTTTGATGCACCCTTTTCCTCCTCAAAACATATTTACCGTTACCTTTTACAATCGGTGCTAAAATATCACCCACTTGTTGCTTTGATCCATCATTTTCTTCCAAATAGTTATTCTAGGTTAGGCTGTCTTTCATCAATCTAAAATTAGGTATTTCCACTGCAGAACTTGCAACTTTAACAATTCTTCTGTATTCAATTTATTATAGCCATTTTTCTAACCTGTTCTGAAACATTCAGTGCACTCACTTCCCCAGAATAATTATCTGGAGCCAAAAATAATGTAGTACTGGTCCTTCCTCATTAGGCATATAGTCTTGAAACTGTACTATTTTGGCATCCTTCCACCTCCAAAAGATGATAGACACATAACAAGTAAATCCATTTTAGATGGGTTGCCTTCATGTTAGGTACCTTTGCTGTTGCTAATACTTGAAAGGCAGATTCTACTACACATGCTGTGTATGAAGTTACAGGGTGTCGTTGTGTGTTGTTCTTTCTAGTCTTGGTGCCTATTGCAAAGCCACTGTAGCCTCTGGTCATTGTGATGGTGAACACCAGTCTACAGCATGATGATTTTCCTCTGCCATGAAATAGTGACTCCTAGGTGAAATAATTGTTACCAAAAGTCTTTATGTCTCGCTTGCAAGCATCCTTGAAGTGATGTATTGGTATCCTACTGGTCATCTGGCTTGGGTTTTGGATGAGGTTTGTGTTTTGGAAAAGTGTCCCATATGCCTTCTTGACCACCTTACCTCGCTGCCTTGCTATCTTCAGGAGTCGATGAACATGTACAGCAAGGATGCTCTGATCTTCAGTACTTTCCAGGACCCTACTATTCATACTGTAATTCTTTGCCTTGTTAGGCCTCCCAAAGTGCATTCCTTGTTGCCATTTAAATTTCTTTTGTTACTACTCTACCTACTTAACCAGTCCATTGAAATCCTACTGTAGCTTACGGCAATCTTCCTCACTACTTACCCACCTACCAATTTTCATGTCATCTGTGAAAGTCTTGAACATACTCCACCTCCCCCCTCCGCAACCACTTAAGTCCAAATCATTAATATACATCACATATAGCAAGGGCCCCAGCACCAAGCCCTGTGGAATCCCAGCAGTAACAGACTTACAGTCACATCGCTCTATCCATCACCCTCTACTTCCAGTCTCTTTGTCAATTTTGGATCTAATGTGTCCCCAGCCTTACATCCCATGGGCTGTTACTTTCTTGATCAGTCTGCCATAAGGGACCTTATCAAATGCCTTGTAGGCCACATTAAATGCATTACTCCCACCAACATGCCTGGTTATCTGCTCCAACGATTGATCAAATTTATCAAACATGACCTTCCCTTAACAAATCCATGTTGACTGTCCCAGGTTAATCTTTCTTTCCAAGTACAGATATGTTCTGTCACTCAGAATTCTGTCTAATAACTTCCCACCAACAAGGTTAGACTGATTGGCCTGTAATTGCCTGGTCTATCCGTTCCTCTATTTTTTAGTAATGGAATAACTTTAACAGCTTTCAGTTTTCTGACACCTCACCTATGGCCAGGGAGGATTTGAAAATTACCCAGTAGTACCTTGCCTGTCTCTCTCTGTACGTTAATTTCTACTAATATTTCACAGTCCTTTACCCTGTCATCCACATCGGTATTGTCCTTTGGCATTACTTACCTGGGTCCACACACACATTACCTCTGTGGTCCTTCATGGTCCCTACATGTTCCTTAGTTATTCTCTTCCTCTTTATATATTTAAAGTAAACTCTTTTTAGTTTTTCCTTTATTCTACCCACCAACCCTTTTTCATAGACTTGGGACTCTTTATTAAGCCAGTGTCTGCCATAAGCCTCTTTTTTTTTCTTAACCCTAGCTTTTGAGTCCCTTGACATCCAAGGTTCTCTGGTCTTGGCCTCACCATTTATCTTTACAAGAGCATATTTGCCCTGTACTCTCACTAGGAAATAGGGTGTGGAAAGTGTAGTCACACTAACTGTAGTAGATTGTTGCAACCATTAGTTGATAGCTTGTCTTCTGAAATGGAAACAGACAAGTTAAGGAAGTGAAGGGAAAAATCAGCAATGGACCACCGATAGAATCCATGTGGGTACCCAATGCAACTTTTTTTTGTTTAGAGGAAGTGAATGGAAGTTGCTCAATGTGAAAACTTCAGAAGAAGTTCAGTCTGTCAGAGGACGGTTGTGATGGACGAGGACTGGGTGGTTCTCCGTTCAAAATAAAAGCTGTGACCTGTCTGATTACCTTGTTAAGGGGTTAGAGATGTCGAGGGATTTGACATCTATGGTAAAGAAGAGGCAGGCTAGGAAACTGGAAACAATAGCGGTGACTTAGGAGATTGGAAGGGTCAGTGATCTAGGCAAGACAAGCTGGATGAGGAGAGAAAAAATAGAGTTGAGGGAGGAAGAAATAAATTCACTGGTTGAAACATGGATCGACTAAAGTAATCATGTTTACAGATTTTGGGAAGGAGGCAGAAGTTTTGGGATGGGAGGCACTTTGAAGTTGGAGGCTGTGAAGGGATAATCTTCAGAGAGGATGCTATTTATTTCCAATACTTTCTATTTTTTTCAGGATTTCTAGAATCTGCAGCATTTTGATTGTGGATTAGTATTAAGAACAATTAATCAATTTTTCTTTAATTTTCTTTATTTCTCTATACACGGCAAAAATTTCAAGAAAAATGATTAACTGAAATGTTTAATAGATAAAATTTCACTGAATTACAGAAATTGATTGCTAATGTACTTGAACGATGGGTAATTGTTTATATTTGGAGATGGGTTGAAAATCTGATTTTAAAGATTTAACAACTTGATCACATATATGAAGGATCTAGCAATCTTGTTAAGAAAGTATATTGACTATGATATTATTATGTCTTTGTTGCAATACCTGTTAACACCTAGTTATCAAACCTTAGTTTTGTAGACATTACAAAGGTTGAAAGAACTGTTAATTGGTTAAATCCAATAAGGTACTAATGAATGTCATGTTCGAGTAAATGGTTCTTAACTTCCAACCATGTTGATGCTCACAATATAGAGATAAACCATGTCATAAACATCTCTATTGCAAAGGGATTAATAATGGTTATCAGTTACAGCCCTGAATGCAGCTGCTGTATTTATTTTTCATGAGACAATAGGCTTTTTTTTTAACAGTTCACAGGCTCAATTTCCTGTGTGAGTCTGGAGATCAAAAAGTTGCATTCCATTCCATATTTGTCTGTGTCTCACAAATCAAGTTGCTACCAAGTGGGCTGAATTTGGTTAGTTTTTATGTGTTTCTCGATGGACTGCCTTGCAGGAACCAAAATATCACTTCATTGGAAGAAGAGAACTTGTGTACAATGATGTGCTATTTCAGTAAATGTTCATTTTTCCCTGAAACTATATTTAACCGAGAAACCCTGAGAGTGATCTGGACCTATTTAGAGTTATGGGGCTCAAGCAGTCATGAAGGGTTTCGAAATCTCCTGCCACAATGCCAGTAGCAGAATCTTGAGAGAAACAAGGTAGATAGTCAATTTCTGGAACTTAAGCTATCTCCTATTGAAGTTGTAGGTGGATATAGGTACAGGTCTTGTGTTTTCAGGGCCATATAGTTCTCTTGCATGTAATTTTTCTTGCATGTTTCTGGAACTTGGCTGCTTTAAAATATTTTTAAAAGAGGTCTTTTTGCTTTTCCTGAAGCACTACTTGATGTCTGCCTGACGAGCAGATCCCTACCTCAAATCAGAAGCTGAACTGAAAATGAAACTGAAACCGAAAGGGCAAAACAAAAAGATATACCTAGAAACGAAATGGAGACTACCCATTTCTCAGCAAACCAAAAAACAAGCTGAGTTTGGGAAATCACACCCTTGTTGAAAGATATAAAGTGATGAAGATTATTCCAAAATGAGCCACAGCAATTACTATAATTGCAGTACAAGCAAACTGAGGAAGATTAAAGCAGACAGTACTGATACAGATGCTAAGAATAAATCTCAGTGCTTTCTGTTACTGGAAGATAACATTGGGTCTACGGAATCCAACTCAAGTTGAACATGTTCTGTAGATACATTCCATTTGTAGTGAAGACCGAGTCAATGGACCGTGGGTTGGTTTTTCACCACTTGTCGGTTGGAGATAGAATTAACTCCTAGAAGGAGAGGAGCTGAAATTCCTTCTGAGGAAGACAGATTTTGAAGAATTTTGTGATTCACTATGATCACTAAGATCTGACTGGACTGCACAGCCAATTCATAAGATTCATTGTATCTGCCAATTTATGTGCAACGTATAATTTCTATTCAATCAAAATTTGCTTGTTAGTTCATGTTTAACTCATGTTAATTCTGGTTGATAAAATGTATTTAGGTAGCATTTACTGTTTGCTTTGTTAACACTTATATAGTTAAAATGCTTCTGTTTTCCAGTGTGGAGTGTAATGTCTTTTTTGCTTTTAGCAAGTAACTGAGATTTTGAATTTTTCCTGCTTGGAGGAAAAACTTACTGGGCTTTACCAAAGTCGTAACACACCATGATTACAAGGATCTTGAACTGTAGTTCGGCACGGTGGCTCAGTGGTTAGCACAGCTGCCTTGCAGCGCCAGGGACCTGGGGTTCAATTCCGGCCTCGGGTGTCTGTGTGGAGTTTGCATGTTTTCCCTGTGTCTGTGTGGATTTCCTCTGGGTACTTCCTCCCATGGGCCAAAGATGGACAGGTTAGATAGATTGGCCATGCTGAATTGCCCATTGTGTCGGGGGATGCGCAAGCTAGTTGGATTAGCCATGGGAAATGTAGGGTTACAGAGTTAAGTTCAGCATGTGAGTCTGGCTGGGATGCTGTTTGGAGTTTGGTGTACACTTGATAGGCTGAATGGCCTGCTTCCACACTGTAGGGACTTCAATGAAGAAGTAAAATCTGCCAGGATTTTCACTTCTGATCATTACAAAATGACTTACAGTGGAAAATGTTATGACATAAACTGCTTTCAGCACAGCTAACCCATTTTCACTGACTCATGGTCCACATGATCTGCTTTTCTCCTTCCCTGGATTGCCAGCAACCATCCCTTTGTCTGCCTAATTTTCTCCCTCTTCCCCTTCCCTTCTGTCTCTCTCTCTCTTTCTCTCTCTCTGGTCTCTGTTCTACCAATCTGCCCACTCCTTCCACCCCCACCCCCTGTCATCAGCATATATCCCATGTTTTCCTAGCTATTATCAATTCTGAAGAAGAGTCACTGATCTCGAAACGTTAACTCTCTTTCTCTCCATAGATGCTGCCAGACCTATTAAGTTTCTTGAGCAATTTGACTTTTTTTTGTTTTGCTACATGCCTTGTTAAAATTAAGTTGGATATTGGCTGTGCTGCCCTACAATTGGATACAGTTTGATATTTCCCTATGAGGTTTATAATTCAAGAATTATAATTTCATTGTGATGCCTATGGTACTGTTCTCTAATGTGATCCAAAGTCTACAGGAGAGAACGTGAAGAAAATGGAAAATTAATAAAATGGTGATATTTGTGCAACATTCATATGCAGGAGCTTGATGTTCACCAAGAGCTATTTATACAGACAACTGGAGGCTATTCACTGCATCTAGCATAATTCAACTTTAATGTATTCAAAGTCTTGTTTCTGCACACATTGCAGCTTTCTCTTTCATGGCTGGACCCAAACTGTTAATGATTTGATCAGGTTCAATCCCTACTCCCACCTCCCATGAGCAGCACCATGGGTGATTCGTATTTGAATATGTGTGTGTGTCTGTGTGTTCATGAGTATCTTCGAAGTGATAAAAATAATGAAAAGAGAAAAAAGGACAGCCATTTCATGCTGCTGCCTTTTGACCTAGATGTAACTGCCTTTCTACAAACTTGCCTCATCAACAAGAATTAACTATAATTGACCTCAGGCTGTTTACATTAATGAGATTTTTAAGGCTTTAATGGGACAGACCCAGCTTCCCTCAGCAAGAGAATAATGCATCAATGGTGCATAATTTAATGCTCTGTCATAAAAAAAATGCATCATCTAACTTACCATGAGTAATGACACAAGAGACCTGTTAGTTACAATGTATGTTCTCTGTCCTTGGTTGACAGTAAGCATAGGGTAACACACAACCTATAGAAGGAAAGTAGGTTGATTCAGAGAAAAAGTAAGTTCAAAAACAAAATGCATACAAATGTAGAAATGTCTTGGGACAATGATAATGTTAAAGCTGCTGCATAATTTCAAGCTGTTGATAATGAGCATAATTGAATAGATATTTTCTCAATGTATGTTTTACATGCCAAATCAGGATTTAAACTTACCAATTTAGGCTGTGGGATTTAATTAAAATTCAATATTTTCTAAATACGTGATTGGGATGTAGCTTTCTTTGTAAATGTCTTTTTTTTTTAAATGCTCCAACAAAACATTTATAGCTTTGTGCATTGTAAAATACTTATAGTTACAATCTTACTAAATCTAAAATGACCAAATTCTTTACAAATATTAAAATTGACTGCTTTCAGACTCCTACATAGAACATAGAACAGTACAGCACAGTACAGGCCCTTCGGCCCACGATGTTGTGCCAAACTTTTACCCTAATCCTAAGCCTTCCTTATACTATCATCCATATGCCTATCTAATAGCCGCTTAAATGCCCCTAACGAGGCCAACTCCACTACCCTCTCCGGCAATGCATTCCATGCCCCTACCACTCTCTGAGTAAAGAACCTACCTCTGACGTCTCCCCTGTATCTACCTCCACTCACTTTAAAACTATGCCCCCTCGTAATAGCTACCTCCACCCTAGGAAAAAGTCTCTGGCTGTCTACTCTATCTATACCTCTGATCGTGTACACCTTTTATCAAGTCACCTCTCATCCATCATCGTTCTAAAGAGAAAAGCCCTAGTGCTTTCAACCTTTCCTCATAAGACCTTCCCTCCATTCTAGGCAACATCCTGGTAAATCTCCTCTGCACCTTTTCCAACGCCTCCACATCTTTCCTGTAATGAGGCGACCAGAACTGGACACAATACTCCAGATGTGGCTGAACCAGGCTTTTGTATAGCTGGAGCATAACTTCACGGCTCTTGAACTCGATCCCTCTATTACTTTTTGACTGTTTCCCTTGGTGATACTTTATTTCTCCATGTGAGGATTGCTGTTTCCTGAACAATATGAAAGCAAGGGAAAAAAAACTTAAACCTCCATGATACATTAATATAGGCTCGTAGTGACTAATAACAACACAAAAACTTTAAGTATTGATGTTGCAATATGCAATTTTTCATTTTGATCTTATAACCATTAAGGTGCAGAGCATAATTTAATTCCCATCCCAGTCAGTAATTGTTATTTTTCATTGGCAGTGAAATTTCTTGCATAATTAAGTATTTATAATGCTGTGTCTACAAGAAAAACATAAACATTGAGAAAGTGGAACAAATATTAAATTAGCTTGAGATAACAAGGTGTAGAGCTGGATGAACGCAGCAGGCCAAGCAGCATCAGAGGAGCAGGAAGGCTGACGTTTCGGGCCTAGACCCTTCTTCAGAAAATTTTCTGAAGAAGGG